CATGGAATGGCTGCAGATCCAGGGCCATCTACTTGGCACCCCAGCTCAATTGTCAAACATCTCACATCTCAGCATAGTATCTGCTACTTGAGACAGCTGCCTTGACCTGCTTAATGGTAGGGCCAGCCCCATCTTCAATAGTTATTTGCTCTTCACTTAGATCTGACTCTACTTATCATTTGGCAATGCTTCATGAATGTATCATAGCTATTCAGGGACAAGTCTGAAATGAAGTGCTTGGAACCTTATGAAAAATAGCAGAGAGGGCACAGTCTGAAAGAAATGAGCTATGGGGTTATCAGTTGAGTGCTTTTTTAAGTCATGGGTCAAACGAAATAAGCAGTAAGAGACTGGCTCCCAATGGCAGAGCAATGGATGACACTTTTCCATTTACAACTACAGTATTCACAATTCAGGGCCTAGAACCAAGCAATTAATTTGGATATATGAAACACAAGATCTCACAAGCACTTCTGACCACTTTGGCATTAAAAAAAGAACACAATGATAAATAAAGGGCTCAAATGTGCTACTCTTTCATGTCACATAAGACCTTCTGGCCCAACGAAGCTGCTTTCTTCAGCCAAATGTTAGGGCTGGCCCTGATTCCCATTCATTTCTTTGATGCTTGTGGAAGAGATTGCTGGATTATGTCCCAAATCTTAATTAGATCAAAAGAGGGTGACATTCAGACTTTTCTAATCCAGGTGCTAAAATGTGTTCAGCAAAGTCATAATTCATGAAGACAACTGACCATCAACTAGTAGTTAATAATTCAGAATTGAATTCTGTCCCAAATTATGCTGGGTTATTCTCAGAACCAGCATTGCTTGAGAGAATGAATGTTAAGTAATATGGGGAAAGAAAAACCAAATGCACAGGTATAGTGTAGGTGGTACCTTGCTCAACAGTAGTAACTGTGAAAGGGATCTCGGAGCCCTAGTGGACAATCACTTAAATATGAGCCAGCAGTGTGCTGCAGCTGCCAAAAAAGCCAACACAGTGCTAGGTTGCATTAACAGAGGGATAGAATCAAGATCACGTGAAGTGTTAATACCACTTTACAATGCCTTGGTAAGGCCACACTTGGAATACTGCATCCAGTTTTGGTCACCATGATGTAAAAAAGATGTTGAGACTCTAGAAAGAGTACAGAGAAGAGCAACAAAGATGATTAGGGGACTGGAGGCTAAAATATATAAGGAATGGTTGCTGGAATTGGGTATGTCTAATTTAATGAAGAGAAGGACGAGGGGGAACATGATAGCAGTCTTCCAATATCTCAGGGGCTGCCACAAAGAAGAGGGAGTCAAGCTTTTCTCTAAAGCACCCTGAAGGCAGGACAAGAAGCAACAGATGGAAACTAGTAATTAAAGAGAGAAGCAACCTAGAACTAAGGAGAAACTTCCTGACAGTTAGAACAATTAATCAGTGGAACAACCTGCCTCCAGAAGCTGTGAATGTTCCAACACTGGAAGTTTTTAAGAAGAGACTGGACAGTCATTTGAAATGGTATAAGGTTTCCTGCCTGAGCAGGGGGTTGGACTAGATGACCTCCAAGGTCCCTTCCAACTTTATTACCATCATCAACATTATTGTTGTTGTTGTTGTTATCTACTGTTATGTTTTAACCCCTTTAATTAGAAGGCAACAAGCCTGACTGACAAGCATCAGAGAAAAAGTCCAAGCACTCAGTAGCAAATTATTTAGGAGCTATTGGGTATGCATTAGTGTATGAATCTTTACTAACACAGTTATAAAAGTTGCTGCTTTTAGCTTGCTGGGAATGGGATATTTGGGAAATTTTCCTCTCATGTCACTTTTCCTGGAGCTAAAGATCTTCCGCTATAGATTTCTGTATTAGATGGAGGCCTATTTGGTCACGAAAAGTAAAGCAGAGCCTTTCTGGTGGTTGTCCCAACCTGCAATGCAAAGTTTTCCTTCCTTCCTTCTTTCCTACCTTCCTTCCTTCCTTCCTTCCTTCCTTCCTTCCTTCCTTCCTTCCTTCCTTCCTTCCTTCCTTCCTTCCTCCTTTCCTTTCCTTTCCTTTCCTTTCCCCAGAGTAATCCCTACTGATTTTGTTTTTGAAATTTAAAAAACATTTCATTTCACCAGTTTTATGCACATTTTAGCATGCACATAGCTCAGATATTTGTTTTATATGCTTAAAAAAAAGTATATTAAAAAGGAGACTGGGTGAAAATAAACAACCCAGGTCACTCTGTCCTGAAAGTTCCAGTTTTGTAAGGAAGATGGGGTAATTTTTGCTGTACTCCAATAATTATTTTAGTTATTCTTACTTTATTTTCAGGCTGCTGAGGTCAAAAAGGCAAGATTGGAATTTGGGCCCCTGCAGTGCTGCAATGGGAATGGTTCTCCTTTCCCCCTCCCTCCCTCCTTGCTCCCCTCCCCAACCGAGAGCACAGAGGATGACAAATGCACAGGGGGAATGTCATTGAGACCTGTGTAATATTCATCAACTTCCTCCAGCCAAGCGTAATTTCCATTAATAGAGAACTGGGATTCTTGTCCCAAAATAGCTAGCTGTGTGTTGATAAGGGCCAGCTAGAGGGAGTAGATCTTCACACTCCAGATCTGGGCAGAGAGTTTTAGGACGCCTCTGGAACTGGACATGTCGGAACGTCAAGTGCCTTTCACTTTTCTACGCAGCCCCAGCTGGGACTGGTACAGAGGCAGCAGGCTCTTGGACCAGTCTTTTGGGATGCCACTGATTCCTGAGGACTGGTACAAGTGGTCTGCAGGGACCACCACCAGCTGGCCAGGTTACGTACGACCTCTGATCAGCTCAAGTCCAGAGCCGGTGGCTGCTACTCCCGTCGTCAGCTCACCAGCGGCCAACCCTGCCTACAACCGGGCTTTGAACCGCCAGCTGAGCAGTGGAATCTCTGAGATCCGGCAGACTTCAGATAGCTGGAAAGTGGCATTGGATGTCAACCACTTTGCACCGGAAGAGTTGATGGTGAAGACAAAGGATGGTGTAGTAGAAATCACTGGTGAGTAGCTTCTCTTGAGGTCTCTCAAACATCTCCCTTCTCCAAATCAGTTCTTCAGCTGTTCCCGCAGCACAGACCAGTGATTTTGAGCCAAATTCTAAGGTCATTAATGGTTGGTGCAGTGCTTTGGGGCGCGTAAGGAGGAGTGCTCAGAGGTTTACACTTCATAAATGATAGTTGAGATAAACAGCCTCCCAGTGTGGAGGTTCCATTGTTTGTAGGATTATTGACTATGAGAAGATGTTGAGCTGATTAATCATCTGTCTTTAACCACTTAATCCATTCATTTAAAAATATTTCTCCTTTGATAGTGTAGTTATTAACATCTCACTTATAAACACCAATATGTAAAGGAGAATATTTGTATCTCAGGATTGAAATGAGGGGTCCTTGGTGCTCTCTGAGTTTGGTGTTTTCTTGCAGACGTTTCGTTACCCAAACTAGCTAACATCGTCAGTGCTAATGAAATGTCTGCAAGAAAACAACCAAGGTCAGAGAGCACCAAGGACCCCTCACACCTATATTTATTTTTTTATTTATTTTATTTATGGAATTTATATTGAAAGAAATCTGAAAGAATACAACTGCCTTATACCACGCAGGCTCTACTCCTTTGCCCTATTTACTTCTTAAATTCTATCCTTTTAAAGTTTTCACACCTTGTTAGCTTTTTTCCTATAAAGATAAACTTTATTGGAGCATTTTGTATTGACCCATCCTTTAGAAATAGGATTTGTTATTTTTTAAATAATATAGATACTAAAATTGCATGAGGTATAAAAAAAATCGTTAATACTTGAAATACAGCAGCAGTCTCCAAGTTTGGTCAAGCAAAAATGTGCATTCAGATAAGGTATTTCAAATGGGGAAAAAAAATGAGCTGTAAATGAACCAATCAATCAATGAGCCTTTTTGAGGACTGGTTTAAGGTTTTAGTCAATTGAAGCCAGCAGTCCTTTTTCTTAGAAAGCCTCATCAACAACTTTTGCTAGACCGGTCACAAGAGACTTATTACGGGATTGTACAGAAGGCTCTTCGAGTGCTCAACATGCTTTTAACAGGACATAATGAAGAAGCTCCATTCTCTGGCTCCAGTAGGTTTTTGTGCTATAAAAAGATCGCATTTTAATTTCACGATATTGCTTTATTAAAAACGTGAGGCATCGTGTGACTGCACCTGATTTTAGGACTTTTTTGCTGCAGTAATTAAGCAAATCACTGCAGTCATTAAGCGAGGCATCTTGTGTATTTGCGACTTTCAACCTTCCCTGCTGGTTTACCCATTTGCTTTGCTTGAGAGAAGTGGCTGGGAAGGTCGCAAACGGAGATCATGTGACTGTAGGACATTGCAACTGTTGTAAGTGCAAGCCATTTGCTAAGCATCTGGATCATTGCACCTGCCATAAGTGTGAGGACTGGTCGTAACTCACTTTTTTCAGTGCCATCGTAACTTTGAATGGTCGCTAAATGAATGGTTGTGAGTCAAGGACTACCTGTAAGCTGCTTCTCTCCCCAGTTGCTTCTGACTATTCTTCCAGCCAACTTCAGACCTTCCAATCCAACTTGACAATGGGGGCAACCTGTGCTCAGATTATTGCCACTAGAAGACCGTAGCGCACATATCAGGAAGAGAGCGGAGTTCCCTGGCGATGGGCTGTAGCACAAGCCCAAAAGCTTGCAAGAATAAACCTTTGGTTCCAGTGACCAACTCAGATTGGATCCTGCAACATTATCCTGGGACACACATGATTACCTGCATTTACTAGAAGACCTGCTAGGTCAATCCTTTGGGGCTGGCTCTTTCCATCCTTGCTGGCTGGGTCCTGGGTGGGTCAATCTACCCGTGTCCATCTTTTCCTTTTAGGGACTGTTCCCATCTCACCAATCCCTGTGCTTTTTCTTTGCTTTCTCAGATGTTTGTACACATATTTTCACGCCTATTTTCACACTAGCTCCTTTGATACTGCTATTGGTCTTCTCTCTCTCTCTCTCTCTCTCTCTCTCTCTCTCTCTCTCTCTCTCTCTCTCTCTCTCTCTCTCTCTCCCCTCCCCCCCAGATTTGTAGCACTATAGCTCCCAATTCAAAGCAAACAAGGTGTTCCCTGTTGGCTCCATGGAAACTTGATAGCAATGAAGAACTGAAAATTCAGCTTCATAGAAAGCAAAGTAGAAAAATCCTACTTTTGACAGGGAATGTGAGGGAGGCCAAACTTAACAACCCACCTAGGTAAAGGATTTAGGAGTTGGAACATTTACATCCCAATGACTATCTACTCACCTAAGGAGTCTATCCAGATTAGGTGAGAAATGAAACCTCCCTGGAGGACACAGTGAGTACGGAGTTTCCCTAACCAACTTGCTCAGGCTGAAGAAGGTACTTGGATAAGCAGCAAAAACATTTCAAACCAACAGGAAAAGAAGTTCAATTGCCATGACTCGACTGCCAGACAAAAGAGAAACACGCTTCACCCATCCTGGGCAGAAATCAAAAGAGAGACATCAAAGTTGAATGGTGCACATGCTTCTAAGCCTGGTTTGAGTTAGATTCATTGATTTACTAGGACATTACTGGATCAGCTGCAAGGTTACTTAAAAATCCACAACTGTCAACCAGCAATAAACTGAGCAGCCCACAAGCCCAGGTTGAAACAGCTGTGCAGGGCAGTGACCAAGGGGAGGGGGAAATGCCAGGCACTGCAGCCAATCAGAGTTTGGGCTGCTGGTAGAATGAATCAAAGCACTGGAGACCCCCTCTTGGGTCAGAAAATAAGTTTTGGATTGCAGGTGGAAAACACTCTGGAAATGGCCTAGGAGGTGATGGTGGACAACATCGTCTTTTCCTGCACTCAGAAAATGCTGAATGGCCCACATCTGCCCCTTAAAATTTAGTTTTTCCAAGAGGCCTCTAGAAAGTGGAAGAAAAAAGAGGGGGAGAGAATGGGGCTGCTGTTATTGCTGATTTTAAGACATTTATGGGACTTCTTTGGGACTTCAGTGGAGATTGCAGCCTTGGGTTGACCATAACAACATTGTTGAAATTATGGAAAACAGGGCTTTATATTAGCCTATCAACTATATAAGCAGAAACATAGATCATCATAGCTGAGCAAAATACAGTGCAAATCCATTTAAATTAATGTAATGGCTTCCGGGTCTATGAGCCTTGAAAAGTTTTTGTTTTTGTGTCTGTGTGTTTTTGAAGTCAGCCTTGACTAGAGGCAACAGCAGTTTTCTTGGCAAGGTTTTTCAAAAGTGCTTTGCTTTCTTCTCCAAGGTCTGAGAATGAAGAACTGGCCCAAGGTCACCCAGCTGGCTATCTAATACCAAATTCTATGGTGGTCTGTACAACACTATGAATTTAGTACTGAACTATCTCATTTTTCTGTCCACAATACAACCAATCAATAAACCAGCCAAAGAGTTTGGTAGACTCAACACGCACTAAGTCAGGGAACAAAACAAATAACAAACTGGCCCAAGCTTAGCGAGTTTAAAGTCTATTGGTCCTGTTTTAAAAACTGGGGACTTCTGACATTGATTTAGTCTATTGTAGCAGGATCAACAAATAGTTTTGCATCTTAAAGACAAATATGGTTCATATAGCAGGATCTTTTGTAGAGGTGGTTCTGTCAGAAGCAGTTGTGCAATGCCACTCTTCTGTCTACGAGCAGAGATAAAAAGAACAAAGGTGATTGAGAGCAGAGGAAGCAAACAAAGAAATTGCATAGCTGGGAAACTTCACTTCCCTATCTCCATTGCCAGCTGGATTGCAGCTGGCCTATTCCATGCTTGATTAAAATCAAGGGACCTGATTAGGTTCCAGATAGACTTTTTTGAAGTATACTATCCAACTTCCCTATAACATAGGTCTCTTGGACTCAACATGCACATTTAAATCATTCTCTAAGGCAAAAAAAAAAATATATTTCTCGCTTTTTGCTAAAGTGCGCTGACTCAAAGAGTTTCAAAAGATTACAAGACCAAGTTAGCCAAGCAGTGTAGTCATTTAATCACATCATAGACACATTTTTGTCTCAATGCTTATAAAAGTAATTGCTTACCAAGCGAGGCTTTCGGAGGGGGGGGGGCGGGGTGTCAAAAAAATTAAGGCAGAGTCTATTATCATGTGATTGAAGCAACCAATGCAATGTGCCTTGTTCAAAAGGGGCAGGGCTTCAATCATGTAATGACAGCAGCCATGTTGAATTTTTGATCTGGGGAGGTTGTCAAAATATCAAGATGGTGGCTACAATTGTGCAATGGAAGCCCTGCCCCTTTTTAAAACTCCACCAGACATGATACATGTAAAACAGGGGTGAGGCTTTGATCATGTGATCATGGCTGCTATCTTGATTTTTTAAATTCCACCTCCCATTGACATCCCTGTCCAATCAATCATCCTCTATGTTAGTTACAATTCTTGCACTATAGTTACTACAAGCATTCTTTATTGTTTTTAAGCCACAGTACATCAATTCTTATATGAACCAGAGGCAGCCCGTAGCTGTCTTTGGCTGATCTTGAATAGATAAATGGGAAAAGACCTGTTTGGTGATAGGATGGGAGACCACCCAGTAATCCAGATGCTATACTTGGAAGTTGAAAAATATCTCAGAAGTAGACTATGACAAAGTACTTTATCTGTTGCCAAGAGAACTGTATAGTTGTCCTTTTTGATTATATGGTAGCAAGAGTAGCCAAGTGACCTGAAAACAACCTTCTAAAATACTTTTGGGCTTTAAAACAAGCCTATTATGGTCTGTAGATAAAACTGCTGTTGATGATTCAGCAGCAGTCATGCAGAAAGAGAAAAAAAATAACAGTTCAATCAGCAGGACCTTGACTGATTCTTTGAAGGCAAGATGAATGTATAGGTAGTCCTTGACTTGCAATCCTTCAAAATTACAATGGCACTGGAAAAATTGACTCACAACAGGTCCCCATACTTACATCTGTTGCAGCATCTCTTTGGTCAGGAAATCAAAATTTAGACTCTTGGCAACTGGCATGCATTTACAATGGTTGCATGTATGTCTTCTGCTTATGTGATCACCATTTGTGACCTTCCCAGCTAGCCTCTGACAATGGAGAAAGCCGGATTTGCTTAATGACCATATAATTCACTTAACAACCACAGTGAATTTGGTTTTAAAAAGTGGCAAAAAGGTTGTAAAATTGGGCATCACTCCCTTAACCGCCCTGCTTAACAATGGAAATTCTGATCCAAATTGTGGTTGCTAATTAGTTGAAGATTACCTGTACTGTGACTACAGCTTCTGACTCTTCCAAAGAATTCTCCCCAAATTCAGCAAGGAACCTTCTGCTCATACTCTTCCAAGAAGACATTTATGCATTTAAATTTTCATTTATTTTAACCTTTTTTTTAAGTGGAGGAGTCTTACCCAACACCATTACACACAAAATTACTAAAATTAAGGCACAATTTTGCTTAATTGTACTCCTCTGAATAATAACTATATAAAATTAAACTAATTTTTGTTGGGAAAAACAAAAGAAGGGGAAAGCTACTACCTCCAATAGCTATTTGCAGGCATGTCCTGGAAGCAGCTGGGAGTGACTGGCCACCACAGGCCACGGGTTGGGAAGTCAGTCTTATAGGCCTTTTTCAGAACAGTCTACATGAACTATGCAGAATAGTCTTTGTAGTCTAAAATGGACTACATAAATCTATTCATTTTTTAAATTGGAAAGCATGGATGGTTCTGTCACAGAGGTATTTTCTTTTCCAGGCAAGCATGAAGAAAGACAAGATGAACACGGATTCATTTCCAGATGTTTCACAAGGAAATACACGTAAGTAGATGTTATGACTCTCCAGATGATCCCTGCATGCTAGAAAGATGGAAGCAATAGCAAACACAGAATTTGCCTCTCCATTATGTTCTCTGAATACAGAGAATACAGGAGCCATGGTGAGGCTGTGGTTAGAATGTGGTATTGCAAGCTAATTCTGCCAACTGCCAGCAGTTCGATTCTCACCAGCTCAGGGTTGACTCAACCTTCCATCCTTCCAAGGTTGATAAAATGAGGACCTAGACAATATGCTGGCTCTGTAAATCGCTTAGAGAAAGGCTGTAAAGCACTGCAAAGTGGTATATACAGTAAGTCTAAGTGCTATTACTAATTGCTATTGCTGAATAAATATCTGCTTGCAGCTGAACTGAAAGGTTTCTGGGTGTGCAGAAAGCCAGGAAAAGTTATGCTTTATACCAGGGGTGTCCAACCTTGGCAACTTTTAAGACCTGTGGACTTCAACTCCCAGAATTCCACAAGTCTTTAAGTTGCCAAGGTTGGATACCCCTGCTTTACACCCTCTCTTGCGTCTTCTAAATGTACCTCCCCAGCTGTGCAAAGAAATAAGCCTGCAACCTTGGTTTCCTTCCTCTCCATGAGAGAATGGCCCTTAAACATTTTGCATATCCCTGTCTGAAACTTCTTTTACTTCTTGTATTTCTATAGCAGAGTGAACAGAATTGTGCTCACTTAATACATCAACCACACATGCAGTATTTTATAAAGGGATCATTATATAGGCAGTTTTATTTTTTCCTTTCTTTTATCATGATTCTCAACAGGAGGAAATATAATACCAGATAGTTACATTATCCTATCTAATACTTCAAATGTTGTAAAATACCGACATAATATCAAGTGGAGATCTTTAGAGAGAATGTGGGTTATCAGTGGCCTTCCAGATCTCATAGGACTCCAAGCCCCATTATCCCTGACCATAGAAGATGGTTCCCTATGGGTCGCAGCCATTAGTGGTCTGCAGCCTGTTCGAAACTGGGCTGTACAAGTGGAGCTGTGCGCACTTGTGCACGCACCTACCACTCACACAGAACCATCCCCTCTCCCCGCCTGGCTGGGCCACCAAGTCAAAAAGGTTGGGGACCATAGATCAGGGCATTGCTGGAATGTATCAGATTTCTAGAAGGCATCTAATACCATACCTCTTCCTACCTTTCTCAATGTCTAATGGGAGGTGTTTCTGGACCCGTGTGCCCTATGAAATTATAGTTTGCAGCGTAGTTAAAACCTATGCAAAACAAGGAGGAGGAGAGAAGTAGCAAAACAACAATCAAACAAAATCTTACAAGAAAATCGATACAAGATAAAAAAGGTAAAAGAAGGCAAGTGCGATGAAGCGAGAGGTCTTGCTCTCTTTTGCCAAAGGTATGGGTGAAGAGCCAGGTCTTCACAGCTCTTCTAAAAAAAATTGAATGGAGGCCATCCAAATCACAGGGGGAGCCAAATTCCAGAAGACAGACATCACTAGAGAGGAGAAACACTTCTAGCGTTCCAATGGATGACCTTGTTTAATCAAAGGAGACCAGAGCGTGTCGATTCTTTATATTTCCCTGTTCAATTTAAGAGAAGAACATCTTCCTTACTTCCCTTATATGAGGAGTGGGGATGAAGGGATTTGCACTGCTACATAATCTGCTATTCAAGTAATCCTCATCTTTGACCATAATTGGGACCAAAATTTCTGTTGCCAAGCAAGGCAGTTGTTAAGTGAGTTGCACCTGATTTTAAGATCTTTTTTGTCATAGTTGTCAAGTGCAGCTGTTAAGTGAATCATACATTTGTTATATTGAGTTTGCCTGTCAGAATCTGGCTGGGAAAGTCATAAATTGCAATCACATGACCCCGGGACATTTCAACCAAGCTCCCAAATTTTGCCAAGCGTGAGGATCAGGTATAAGTGACTTTTGTCAGGGCCACTATAACTTTGAATGGTTGCTAAATGAATGGTTGTGAAGTCAAGGGCTACCTATAGTTTAAGACAGGCAATTATTTTTAATCCTAGTCTTTGGTATCTTGAACTCCTCAGGATTATTACTAGCCACTTTCAAACTATCCTGAATATAGCTTGTTGAAAAGAAGGGCAATCTGGAGGTTCTTTTACAGTCAAGATTTACCAGGGGGATAGGAAACCAAAGGACTTCCAGAAGTTGCCAAACAATAATTTGCTGGTATCTCTCTATACCGGTTCTGCTGATTGTGGGAAAGGGTCATTCAGCAACAGATGCCCAATTCAGAGGAAGAAAACAGCCCTATGATGTCATTTTGATGAACCTCATAAGCCTCCCAGACCATTCTGATGTTCTTTTCCTTTCACAGGTTGCCTCCTGGCATTGACGCATCCGTGGTCCGATCATCGCTTTCCCCAGATGGCCTGCTGACAGTAGAGGCGCCCTTGCCCAAACCAGCCATTCAGTCTGCAGAGATCACAATCCCAGTCACTTTCGAAGCCCATGCCCAGATCCCTCCATCAGATGCCAAGAAGCCTGAAGAGGCCACCAAGAAATAAAGACCTTTTTAGATACATAAGTCGGGTATAGAAAATGGGCATTTAAAATCTCCCATATATTCCATTTCGTAAAGGCATCATTGTAATCAGGCGTCCAAATAAAACTCTAAAACCTCTACATGATGTTACTATTTTTTTAAAAAAAAAAATCATGCAAGTTCAGTATTTATTTTCTTTTTCAGAACGTAAGAAAAGAGGAAAAGATCGCTGAGCATCTTTTCTTAACAGGATTGGTCTTTCCCCACAAACACCTCCAGTTAGTTTAGAAGAATTCCCCCCTTAAACTGAGATTTATTTATTTTTATTTATTTATAAAATTTATT